TTTCTATACTCACAAGCGTTTACTAATTTCCCTTGTGTACTTCTTCATCCTTAGCATTTGTCCTGCTCTGTGGCGGGGTCCGCTCGTCTTATTTTGTCACGCCACTTCTCCCGATTGAATGCTTGGTCGGGATGGGTGCCAACTATCTTCAAGTCCGCATGCAACGTGTCTAACCAGCGCTGCTTGGGGCGTCCTTTAGGCCGCTTTCCGGGAACCTCGAGCTCAAGACCAATCCTACGGACGGTGTCACAATTCGCGCGAAGAACATGACCATACCATCGAAGGCGAGCTTCGCGCATTTTCTCGGCCACAGGAGCAATACCGAATCTCTTCCTTATGTCGTCATTGCGTATGCGATCCATACGCGTGACACCGGCGGTCCACCGCAACATTTTCATCTCCATAACTCCGAGGCGCGCTTCAACTTCTCTGGTCGTAGGCCAACATTCAGCACCGTATATCGCGACTGGTCGAACGACGGTCCTATAGATCTTCGATTTGAGGCGATCTGGTATCGTCTTGTCGCAGAGAACGCCAGTCATAGACCGCCACTTAGACCAGGCTGCACTCACACGCGCGCTCACTTCTGAGTCGAGACTACCGTCAGACGTAATTGTTGATCCGAGGTATTGAACGTTGTCGTTCCCGTTAGCACACTGCCACTGACCCTAAGGCACACTGCCACTGACCCCAACTTGTCCGAATAGTCGTCAGGTACTCGGTTTTCTTGACGTTCAATCTGAGTCCGAAGTTTGCTAACCGTTCAGTCCAAGCTTGCACTTGTTCCTCGAGACCATTCTTATCCTCGCAGGCGAGCATCACATCGTCAGCGTAGAGAAGCGTTCAAGTCGGCTTCCGAAGGTCCCGAGAAATGGCATTCATGACAACAACGAAGAGCAGCGGCGGGTGCGCAGTGCCTTGGTGCACCTCAACTGTGATGGTGCCATCGAAATGCCTGCTGGTGTTCGCACTCGACTCTTTGAGCCGATGTTCAGGACGTACCCACAATCAGCTCTTTGGGAATGCCGTGCTGCCGTAAGGCATACCATATAACTTCACGTGGGACACGGTCGAATGCCTTCTCCAGATCAAGGAAGGCTAGATGGACATGCTTCTTCTTCTCACGATGTTTCTCCAGCAAGAGGCGAGCGGCATGTATGGCGCCGATAGTGCTACGGTTATCATCGATTCGCACAAAAATTTTCATGCTGTGCGAGACCAAGCGAATTGGACGATAATTTGAGCAGTCTGCAGGACTGCCTTTTTTCTTCCAGATCGGTACCGTCGTGCTCTCTTGCCATACTTCGGGCATTTTCTTCTCTGCAACGACCTGATTGAAAAACGTTGTCAACCATTCGGCAGCATGCCAGCAGTGTGACTTCCATACTTCGGCCGCCACGTCGTCAGACTCGCTGCCTTGCCTTCATCTTCTTGAAAGTCACCTTTTTTCCTTCACGCTTATCTTCTGAACGGGACCACATATTGGTGAGGCGCAAGGTATGGTCGGGTGTGTACATTCCACTGTAAAAATACCCTCGAAGTGATCGCGCCATCGCCTCAGCACCTTTGTTCGGTCCATCAGAAGGCGGCCCTTCTCGTCGTTGATGCCAAAGAACTTCTCCACATCTTCGGTCTGGCGGTGACGAGCTTTGGCAAGTCGGTAAATGTGCCGTTCGCCATCGCGCGCTTCCCAGCTTCTTGCTGACTTCTTCGAAGTGAGCGGCTTTTGTAGCAGCCACAGCCTTCTTTGCCGTACTTCTCGCTTCCTGATATTCCGCTGTTGTCAGCTGACTTGTCTTCGAGAAACAAGTGATAGCGCTTCTTCTCTCCCCCAAAACCTTTAGCCTGACGTCATCTGTCCACAACCATGCCTGCTTTTCAATTCTACGCCTTCCAGGTTTCGTTGTGCCAAGTTCAGAGCGAGCGGCTTGAACTATCGCTTTGGCGGCATTCTTCCATGTTTCGTCGACAGTTGTGACGGTTGGTAATCGAATGCGAGAAATAGCAGCTGCCTTCTTTTCTTTCAAATGCCACCACCTGATTCTCTCGGGATCACATCGCTCACTCTGTTTCGACCTAGGCGATGTTAGCTTTGGCGTACAAAAGCGGGCGATGTTGCGAGGCTACTGTCTCATACGGCACGGTCTTCGCGTCTGTGACAAGTCCTTGATCGCGATGCCTGACAAGAACAAAGTCTATTTGTGTTGTGGCGCTCCCGCTGTAGAAGATTATCAGATGAGAGTCACGTTTACGGAACTTTGTTTTCACGATGGCGAGGTCTGGCTGCTGCATGTTTTAGGATGCCTTCGCCATTGACGTATAACCGAAGCCACCATGACAAATGCAACCGTCTTTCGTTGCGCCTACGTGCCCGTTAAGGTCACCAGCGACAATTACGACGTCTTCTGACGGTACCTCAGCTGTCTTCTCCTCAAGCAGAGTCCAAAACTCGTCCTTTGATTGTTCAGTGCATCCCGTTTGTGGAGCATATGCAGAAAAGAAGTGGTACAGTCGTTGCTCGACAGCAAGAACAATCTTCATCAAACGGTCGTCGAAACGTTCCACGCTAGCTATCGAGTCACGGAAACGTCGTGAGACGATTATGGCCACACCTTTAGTGGTCCTTGGTTTGCCTCGAAACCCCTACCGAATCACTCCAATTACCAATCTCTGTATGTTGCAAATAGAACCCTTGGATAACTGGAAGGATTGATTCTATGACAAGTCATATAGTCATAGTCATATAGCATAGGCATAGTCATAGTCATATAGTCATATAGTCATAGTCATAGTCATACAGCTTTCTGTTTACCTTTTTCGAATCATTCGTTCTTCAAGCGAAGCCTATTTAGCAGCATCTACTTAGGGCTGCGCTTATACAGAGCTACCTCAAGAAACAGTGAGTACTTGTAAAATAAGTGTGTACGTACCGTTTCGGAAAACCGAGAGAATACGTGAAATGCATAGGATACAAATCGATTCCCGCAACTTCGAAAAGTGAAAATGACAGAATAGACTAGTATTTCCCGCGGGTTTTACCACTTCTGTAATGTTGACTTCGAAACTGCCAAAAACTGCATTTTGCTTCTGCCACACTCCTTATCCCGAGCCAGAGTAGGCGTGGCATTCGAACATGGCACGGAATTGGTTACTCGTGGAATATTCCAGTCTGGGACAACTGTCATCTTGTTCTGTGTTGGACAGAGACACGACAACAATTGTGTCAAGATGAAAATATCTCACCAGAAGCATAGACACCTTCAGGTTAAGTTGAAACATGTAGGTAGCTACGCCTACCCCATTTCAGGGATTTCAAGTATAACTCGTCGGAAATCGGCGCCGAGTATACAACGGCGAAGCTGGAGCAAAGAGAAGAAAAAAATATATTGCTGCCAGAGATTCGTGGCAATAGTCAAATAATGTGAATTTATTTTTCCGGAGAACCCCACATAAGACTCTGAGCTTTGCATGGTGCACATTCATGGGAGAACTCTTAAAAACAGTACTTTCGCTTTGGCAGAAACTTCAGAGAAAAATAAAGAAACTCAAAAGCAAATATGACGAAAGGGCCAGTACTCCAACAGTAATCTATCTTTCGCCTCTGATAGAAGAATGTGGGGGAAAAAACAAAACAAAACTTACATGAGCGCAATATACTTGAACATCAAATACTCAGTCGACGCGTAATAGGGCTTTCTTTTAACTCTCAAATTGAGACGTAGCTCGCCTCTAGCCGTGCGGCGTCGCAGGCCCTCTCATACCCGTGGCACATTACGAGTTACTTGTCTTACCCCTCTAAGGAATGAAATCCGAGAAGTATTTTTTGAAAGCCTCACAATATCTATCGGTTTAGAGGAAAGTTTCGATACCAAAAGCGCCGGAAGAGCGGCTGCAGTCGGTCTGCTGACTGTTCACTATAGTACTAGCGGGGCTATATTGGCAGCTCCAAACCTGGATCGGCTAAACAAGATAGCCTGAAGTATTCCGTTAATCCTATCGCTAGCCGTACCGACGAAGGCAGCTATTCCTTACCTCTACAATGGAGAGAGTATCTGTGTACATTGATCCTCACCGGATTCTCCAACAAGCTGAACTAATTGTGTCGAGAACTTGTTTTCAACTTTTGCTTTGCAACAGTATTAAAGTTTTATAATATTTACTGACCTTTTCCTGACTTCACATACTAAACTACAATGTATTCATGAGGTAACCCGTTGGGCAAAAAGAATAAAATAGAAGAGAAAACGATTACAACTGCAACTTACAACGTTAAAGAAAACGTGAGAAGTTAAAAAGCGCCACGACACAAGCTATAGTACGACATATGTGCTTCAAGGTGGGCACTGTAAACAGCTCACCAAGAACACATATGACCGACCGCACTGATAATTAGAAGAGCAAAATGGAACGTGTACAGCAGATATATTAAGACTCAAACGGCACAAATCTATCATCGATTCGATTTACTGAAATAATTTGAGGAGGAACGACTCTGTTGAGATCAATCGATTATCCCTAGTTTAGTCCGATAAAAATGTCTATAAATGAAGCAATGTTGGGTTCCATAATAAATTTGTCAGAAGGAATAGCAGAGATAGCAAAAGAAGCACGACGATACATCTAGATATACCGTTACAGAACAAACGGTGTTCGCAGCTCTTGACGTATTAATGAAACCAGCAGCTCTGCATCCGCACGCGAACCATCACGAGCTACGGACACAAGAGTCTTATAAGCAAGATGCTATCATACATACGAAGCTACTTATCCTATGTCATACAGTGAAACAGAACAAAGGCTTCCAAGATTGTGGTCCATCATAACAAAATTTAAACTTATAGTATTACAGTACAATTCAACTGGATGTCTTATTACGGGGAACAGAGAAGTTGTGCTGCTGCATAGATCTCTGACTCGCACTACGCCGATAGTGGTGATCCCTTGGAAGATTTTCCCGGACAGCAGGTATAAGAAGGTACACGGCAGTGGTACGGTAGTACTCAACAGGCCGGTGAGATTTTCTCCGAGTTGAATCGGAACGTTTGCGGTAGGCCCATCTTCTTTGCCACTTCTTTATAAGCAGGTGTGTGCACGAAACGTGAGAAGCAGTCCTGAAAGTAGTCACGTTAATTATTTTTCTTTTCGGTAACTACAAAAATTAATCATATATTCACTAGAAAAGCAAACATGATCTTTCCTGGAATAGGTCATAAGGAGGTTATGGTTCAAAAAAACATCGCGCCGATTACGGATATGGTCCCCAGGGCGATAACGTGGGAACTGGCCGCTTGCTTACACACTACCTCTGCAGCAGCAGTAGCAAACTGCACGCCAATGCGTTACTATTACATTATATTACTCGATAATCCTCTTAATATTGTTGGATAAAATGAGTCCAAGTGAGCAGAAGCTGTTGAAAATACTATTTCTTCGATTAATCCAAGTTTCTTTTCTGGTACTGTATATTATGAAGTGGAAGTGGTGTAGTGGTAAGTGGCACGCTCATCACGCGCGTGCCCGGGGCAGAAATTCCAGAGCTCCCATCGAAGCCAACCAAGCCTTTTAACCTCCGAGGGTCGTTAAAGCGGTACCAGATTCGTCTGGGAGAGTAAGAAAACTGACTACATCGGCTGGCCCCAGTCAAACCACATCGCATTCAGTGAGCCAGTACGACTGTGAATGGAAGTGAAAATGCAGTAAAGCCGCGTTCATAGCTTGCGTTCGTGAAGAAATGCAGAAATGCGGAAAATGCAGAAGTGCGGAAAGTGCAGAAGTGCGGAATCTGCAGAAAAGCAATAGATACTTATCGACTTGAAGAAATGCAGAAATGCCGAAAGTGAAGAAGTGCGGAAAGTGCAGAAATGCCGAAAGTGTGGAAAATCGATACGTATCGGTTGCTTTTCTGCACATTCCGCACTTTCGGCATTTCTGCAGATTCCGCACTTCTTCACTTTCGGCATTTCTGCATTTCTTCAAATCGATACGTATGTAATGCTTTTCGTCATTTCTGCACTTTCCGCACTTCTGCATTTTCCGCATTTCTGCATTTCTTCACGAACGCAAGCTATGAACGCGGCCTAACGGCGGTAGAGAGAGCATACCCATCCCTGTCGTGTGCTTGACAACGCTACGAGTTTATCGAGCTGTAGCTGTCACGTTCCCAACAAAACTCTCCGCTAACCCACGCGCCAAGAAGGTGAGCAGAAATACAAGCGACGCCTTCAATGTGTGCAATCAATGCGACCAATCGAAATAAACAATTGTGACAAATACATGTTGCCGCAAGTGTCAACTACTCCCTTGATTACTAAGATAAAAGAATAAAGCTCAAGTGTGAGTTGGCTCATACAGGTGTTTGCTGGGCCAGCTGATGTTCAGGGCAGTGTTGTAGCAGGCAGTGATGTACAGAGCAATCAGACTCACCTGATGAGATAAGGACATTGCCCTCTACAGGGGTATATAGGTACATGAGGTGCAGCGCTTGCGTCGACGCCAAGCCCTGCAGTTAACCATGCATGTTAACCATGGTCAGTGATAGGGACCAACCAGAAGTGAGAGGGCTAAACGCGCGTTTGGCTATAGTTGGGCATGCGATTGGCTGTCCGACAGCGCGTATAGAAACGCCATGGGGCACCCTTCATCCCTGCACTTTTGAATGGGGATGGTAGGCTGCCTCAACTGCTGACCCGCTCACCTCACACATGGCAAAAACCAGGACCCGTGAAGATAACTGCACAAATTGCCTTGGGCTGGATAGGTAAAGTGCTCGGTTTGGCTTGGCTGGGAGCCAAGCACGCATTTTATCCCTTCTACTACTGCTCTTAATATCTGACTTCTGATGCCAATTATAAATAAGATAGAGTCGGTCTCTGATGGCTAGAGAGATTATATTGCCGAAGGCTTCTTAGATTGTTTGTGTTGTGAATGTACAGAGCGACGTTCCACTCCCACATCAATCCTGCGCTACTCTTAACACATTGGCGACAAGGCGCCTTTTCGCGTGTCTGCCGCGTGGGACAAAGCAGTTTTTCCCTATTTTCGAAGAATGCGCATAAATGCTAGGGCGTTTATACGCCAAAAAAAATTGAAGAATGGTCAGAATTCATTGCAGAAGCTAGTAAGGCTTCGCTATTCTTGTTTACTTTCAAGATAAACCCTGAAATTTCATGGAATACTCCCGCCTCATTCACGTGGAGCGTGGGAACAAGGTCGCAAAAAAGGAATATTTTCGCGCCAGAGGTGGTAAATTGGATTCGATTCAGATCTGCTATTGTTGAAAGTTACCTTATCACATTAGCTATCTGCATGTGGAGCTTCAGTTCTATATATCCAAGAATTATCTTTTTTTTCCTAGGAAATCACTTTCGTTTGTCTCCTCGGTAAAATACTCTCAATGACACAACTGCACGGTTTACAGCTACTGTATATTCTACAATGCCTTCATGGACAATATGCAGCTGTTGAAAATTCGAAACGTCTTCAAATTGGTTTTTTACCCATGCCGCATCCCAGCAGTGGGACGCAATGTCCCACGCGGCAAAAAAGGTGCGTCCCAGCAGTGGGACGCAATGTCGCCAACGTGTTAAGGAACTCATCGCAACCCTTACGGGGAACTTCTCACATTGTCGCTTTCTAATGAGATTCCCAGCAGCTATTCACGAAGGCGCTTGGTCGGTAGCCTATTGGGTGAAAGCTTCGAGCCACTTTCAGGCCTCTGAAGAAGACAGAAAGGTCGAAACGTCGGAACAATGAGGGCTACTAGTAAATAAAAATACCAGTGGCTTTCGAGGAAGAACAGGATTTCAGGATAGCCAGTGATTCCTAAAAGCTATGGCATACGTTTTGAAAGAGAGAATGGGCGATTGCACTTCACGAGACAATACCCACACCTTCGAAACCTATCCTCCCTGACAACCTTCCGGAATTCTGCCACTAGTCCCCTTTTTCTGTTTTTTGAGCTCAACTTTCAATATAATAGGCTAATTTTACTAAAATGTGATTCGATGTGCTTCGCTTCAAAACAAACCTTCTCCATCAGTCGGTAGACGTGTGCTTGGGCTCTTTCGTAAATGTTGTCGGGGAAGGTCGATGGATCCTGGTTTTCGACCCTAAAACAGCCAACTATAGACGACTATCAGAATACAAAATCAGGAAATCTATTGTGCTATAAAAACGCTTTTTTCTTCAGCCTGTCTTTCAAATGGTATACATGTACCTGCCCTGCCCCATCACCTACAGAGGAAGGGCCCCTCTAAACACAAGCTCAAATGTTGAAAGAATTGCAAACAGCTGGACATCTTTTCCAGCTAAAAATGTTTCATGATGGGGAAATACCCTCGACGATTCGTCATAACTGTTTCGTTGAAAAAGAAAATAAATTATTTTTATCCCTTTCAACACTGAATGAATAGCTTATAACGAGAGAAGCTCCGTCAGATAGAAAACTACGCCGAGTCATGAAGTATATCTGTTTATGTGGAACAGTCAACGATGAATAGAATTTCCCTCATCCAAAGGCAAGGCGTGAAAAACAATATGACGTGGGGAACGTAGCAAGCGCCACTGATTTGAAATTCGCTTCAGAGTATTTCTCTATTTATGTTCGCACTTGCTGGGGTAAAGGTAGTGCGGTGACAAGTGACCCTTTAGGACCAGCATTGGCGAGGGGAGGGAAAGGGCGGGCGAAGAAACAGTTGCATTTCATCACTCAGTCCGGCCAAATGCGATAAAATCTCTGATCTGCAGATCGGCTGTCCACTGTCACCCCTGCCCCCTCCCCCAAGGTCCCCTCTTCCCTTCCCTTCAGTCTCAGACCGCATAGGCTAAATGGCATTCAGAATGCCAATGAATATTCACGTGTTCTGAATGGAAATGGAAGGCGTGGCGCATACCAAACTAGCAACTGTTTAACAACAAAAGATTTCTCTTTGATGCCAATATTTCCTTTCTCTTTCTTGAGAAACCGTCAACTACCCACAATAAAATAACGCTTTTACATGGAATTTCAAAGGATCCTACTATATATAATCCGCTAAGTGTGTGTGTGTGTGTGTGTGTGTGTGTGTGTGTGTGTGTGTGTGTGTGTGTGTGTGTGTGTCACGAAATTCATAGCGCCGGTCCCAGTAGCGTTAGGAAGTTAATTCCAAGATATGATATAGGGGTTGGGACAGGAACACTTTTGGTGGGTGACAGGAGGTGATAACACTTGATAAGATTCGATAAGGGGCCTTAAAAGGGGGGTGACCAAAATCGTAGCGCAAGTTGCAGCAGCTGCGGGACCGTGATTTCAAGAAGTGATATACACGGCAGGACGGGAACACTTTTGGTGGGTGACAGGAGGTGATAACACCTGATATGATTTGATAAGGGGCCTTAGACGCCGAGGATCACCAGATTAGTAGCGCAGGTTGCAGCGACCGTGGGACCTTGATTTCAAGAGGTGATATACAGGGGGGGGGGCAAAAAAAAGTCATTTCGGCCGAGCCACATATCAACGAAGTTTTCGCAGCCCAGACAGGGGAAGTGGATATGAGTACCAGAGTGGAAGATACCCAAGATCTTCCTCTATAAGCTGGAGCAGGCTGCCGCCAATCGCCTTCATGTACGCCAAAATATGAAGTCATCTCCAGTCGCGGCCTGACTGGAGAACACCTTTGGAATTCACGTCGCCTCCAAACAGCTGCGAAACTTCTTGAATGAAGTCATCCACAGATAGCTACCTGGAGGTCAGTACTCTTGATCTGCAAGACCTCCCACATCGAGCAGCTACGGCAACGTCGCTACGGTCTAGGACATCATCTTCACCGTATTCGCCGAGGCGCGAGTTGATGGTATGGACCGGGGTACCTGGAAAGGGGAAGACCGATATTTTCTTTGTAGACCCCGACTGAAGGTGAGCGCTGGCGGTTACATCAAGTAACTCGAGAAGAATATCCTCCCTACATGTGGTCGCCCGTACCTTCTTGGAGACCTTGTGCTGCTACAGGTTTGGGTGCCACACATGGAATCAAAGGGTTTTGGAAAAACTCCCGCCTACTTCGAATGGAAGGGCGTTTCGTACCTGAAGAAGATGTAATATTGAAGTATGTCCCTGACCTGAACCCACTCAATTACCTAGTTCGGGCGGAGCTCAACAGGGTGGTCTACAGTGGCGGAGAAATCAACGATCTCGCTCAACTCCGGTACCCACTCACTTTCGCGCGGCCGAATCTCTCGATGGCGCTCCTCCAGAAGGCTGTGGCGGAGTATCATTATAGTATTTAATGTGCTCTTTAATATGGTAGTAAAAATGTCCGATAAAAATTTAATAAAGTGTAACTTATAGCGCCTTGAAAGTCATGGAGGCAAAATGACTTTTTTTTTTGGCCCCCCCCTGTACATGGCAGGACGGGAACACTTTTGGTGGGTGACAGGAGGTGATAACACCTGATAAGATTCGATAAGGGGCCTTAGAAGGGGAGGGTGACCGAATTCGTGGCAAGTTGCAGCAGCTGCGGGACCTTGGTTTCAAGCAGTGATATGCCGTAGATGGGGGCTGACAGGAGCTGATAACATCTGATAAGATCCGATAAGGGACCCTAGACGCGGGTGTCACCAAATTCTTAGCGCAGGTTGCAGCAACCGTGGGACATTGATTTCGAGAAGTGGTGTAGGGGAAAGGGGTGGGTGTGTGACAGAAGCTGATAACACCTGATAAGATTTGATAAGGGGACCTTAGACGCGGAGGGTCACCCAATTCCTAACATCCGCTGCAGTGAATTGAGACTCCAATGGTATACGAGACTGGCTCCTAGATGGTATACAGGAGGGACGGGGTGGGTGACAGAATCTAATAACATATGATAAGATTTGATAAGGGACCTTAGATGCGGAGGGCCACCAAATTCGTAGGGCAGGTTGCAGGGTCTGTGGGACCTTGGCTCCAAGAAGTGGTATAGGGGGAGGGGCGGACACCCACTGACGGGTGAGACGAAGTGACTGATAAGAAATGAAAACCTCATCATGCGGAAATCCGCAACACCGCTTACATCCACTATGCGATTGATATGATGGTATCAGGCTCCCAGTAGTTCGCACACAACTCACTCCTGGGCTTTATCGTTATTGACATCATGTACGGCCGCTAAAGCAACTGGAGTTCAGAAGCATGGCGGTTGTTTACTCAGTTGGCATGAACTGCAGCAACTGGCTTTATCACTATGATGACTATCTTTCATCAACAATCTGAGAGAGGACCATTCGAAGCGTTAAACTGCCCGAATGCGGGAGTGCATTCCAGAAAAAGAAACCTGCAGTAGTGGAGAACGCATCAAGCGGTAGGATGCTTCAAAGGCTGCTCTAACAGGTTGCTGAATTTTCGTGTGAGGGTTATGGAGATTTTTGGTACTAACTCCGAGAAAAGAGTGGACCAAAGGATAGATTTCAGCGCTACATTGGGACAACGGTTACAATCCTACCATATATAATCGGCTATGTCCGTGCGTGTGCGTCTAACTCTTTGACACGAATATCATAGCGCCGGTTCAACTTCAACTCGCTGATCCAACTTTAACCCATTGCTCGAGCTATTTTCAACTATTTTTCTACATTTTGCTGGAAAATGAACTGTGACGGTTTGGCGTATTTTGCACACTCTACCTCGCCTAAAGAAAGAGTGCCTGGCGAAGCCAGGGCCGTGATAAAGAAGGAGGAGCACCCGGCGACAGCCGGGTGATCCGACTGGTAAAGGATAAAGTCTTTGCCGATGAACAATCCTTTTTGGGAGGCGACATGCATGCTACTT